CAACACCCCCAAGGCAATGGCCAAGGCTGAAAGTTAACTGGCAGTGAAGGAAGTTGGTTAGAAATCTCATCTGATTTTGAAACCATCTCAAAACCATGAGCAGGAAGACTGCAGCAATGAGCGGACCAGAGCTCCTGGCTTGCTCAAGTTCAGTGATGCTCAAAAATATTTTTAGTCCCTGCACCGTGTACCTGTGAGAAAAACTCTATGCCCTGGGCTTTCGGCCAAAGCAGGTACTGAAAAGGCAGGTTAACAGGTCACCTCACTGTCCCTAAGGGTGGGTAAATCAGGTTAAGATCTACATGCTTACCAATTGGAAACCAGTTGTCCATTTTCCTGTAACTTTTTATTCTCCCAACATTTAAGTTTTATTCCAATTTTCTAACTGTTGACTGACCATACATTATTTCTAATTAAACCTTAATCCCCAGAGTGGTCAGGGTACAGTCGTCATACTAGGATTTTATTGAACTGACACAATATGTTGCCACCAGTAAAACGTATTGAGAAAAAGGTAAAAGCGTTACTGTCAGCTGGTTAAAACTGTTTCCCAACCTGTCCTCAGGGTTAGGGGGGATGCCCAGGTCTCCTGTGCGCAGTTTACGAGTCAGGTCTTCTATCTGCAGTTGCACTGGAAGAAACCAGGTTAGGAAAGAAAAAAAAGGATGGAAAAAAGACAATGTTACCAATAAACATCTCAAATCTCAACAACAAGCATGAAGAACTCGGAGACTTTGAAAGGGACGATTGATCAGTGAACACATTGAAGCAAAAACCCCCAACCACCTATCGGCAGGAGTCCTTTTACATCTATAGGTTTTTTTCACTTCAAAATGGTTATCACTTAAGGAAGCAAACAGTTTGTTGGAAGAGGGGTTAGCAATAAAGACTGTTCACTAAGGCTAACATCCAAGCAATTACGAGGTGTTTCACCTCTTCCTCCCCACCAAGGCTTGCTTACAATTGGTACCCAGAACCAAAAACCATGTTATGTCACCAATACCCGATTCCCATCAAATTACTTGAGGGCAAGAATTGAGTTTTTCTTCATTAAATATTAAACATAGCCCAAAATGAGACCCAATTAACATGGGACAAGGAAAAATACCATTTGAGCAAAGATCATTTTCATTAATACCGCATTTAAAATTCCTTAAATAAGACATTTAACAACAAAATTCAACACCTTACAGAATTTGTACATACTCTTTCTGTACAACCAGACCTGTACTAGTAAGGGTCTCCCAATACCTGCAGCTTTTATTCAATTATACGAAATATTTATTCAAACATTAAATGACAAACCACATATCTTAATAAACCAGTAACCATAAAGTGCTAAGAATTTCTTTTCAGGCTCGCTATTCATATGGGGAGCAGGAGTGTAGAAGAATGGAATGTGTGATCAAGGACAATGTACGTGGCTCTCGGGCCTTGACCAATGAGGCTGTGCATGAAAAAGAGAGATGAGGGTTTCACAAAAGTTGCCAGTGACTCCAGGGAAATGTTACACGGCTGATTTTCCAAGATAATGGGAACTGCAGAGCCAGAGCAGCTTTCTTCAACGTGCAGAATAACCACCTGTTCCTTACCTTCGTAGCATCTGAGAATTTTGAGCAGGCATCTCCAATAAGGGCAAGTGTTACTAGGTTGGGTTAAAATTGAGCTGGTTCCAAGATAGGATTAATGCATCTAACCAAAGATTGCTTCTAACTTTAAATACATCCACAGGGCTATACCACACCCACACACTGAAACCCTGAAGAAATGAAAACCCATTATTATCGAAAGATACCGGCCAGACGCAGTGGCTCACGCCTGTAATCCCGATACTTTGGGAGGCCGAGGGGGGCAGATCATGAGGACAAGAGATCAAGACCATCCTGGCCAACATGGTGAAACCCTGTCTCTACTAAAAATACAAAAAAAATTAGCTGGGCGTGGTGGCGTGTGCCTGTAGTCCCAGCTACTTGGGAGGCTGAGGCAGGAGACTCACTTAAAGCTGAGAGGAGCAGGCTGCAGTGAGCCGAGATCGCACCACTACACTCCAGCCTGGCGACAGAGTAAGACTGCGTCTCTCCAAAAAAAAAAAAAAAAAAAGACACTGAGGGCATCCTGGACAAAGCAGTATATACTGTGGAAGACAGAAAATTAGTGACACACATGGCTCCCCAAGCTCCTTTATACTAAAAAATTCTGACTTTGCAGTTGAGTATTAAGCTCAACAACTCGAGGTGAAAGTCACCTTCACTGAGAGGGGAAGCTGAGTCTTCCTGACTATGGAGATGCGTGGCCTGATCTAAATAAAAAGGGTCATTTTCTTCTATGAAGAACTACACCTCTCCTTTGATTCTATCTATTTTGATTATAGCTATAAATAGCCCTTAGGGCCCAGTGAACTAACCAGCCCTCCACAGAAAGAGAAATGGAGAGATGTAAGGAATTTGTGCTCTTCCCATTTTCTAAGTATGCTTGTGTTCTTGGGATATCACTCCACTAGGGGCATTTCACAAGGTTGTAAAGACCCAGAATGGTCTAATATGAGACACAAGGGAATGGGTGGGAGTAGACAGGAACAGTAGGGGAAAGAGTAAGTATTAGTAGTACTGTGAAAGGAGACAGACAATTCCAACGCCTCAAAATTCTCAGCAGTCTAAAAAACAGGAAATTAAGACCCTCAAGAGTAGTAACATGCTGGCCTTGAAGCGTTTTGGTTGTGAAGGCCACAGCCTCGTAGGCTTAGGAGGTCTTTGCCCGAATTTCCTCCAAAGGGGATGTTTGTTTAGTTAGTAGAAAATGTTTATCAAGTGAACTTTTTTGAGACAGCTTTAAAAGGTAAAACTTTCATTAAAAACTTTTTTTCAAAAAAGCAATTTTGAAGTTAATTTCAATTCCACTGTGGACAGTCATTCTTAATTCTCAAAACCTCCCAGCAGATAAAACCTTTTTATCCTAGCACTTCATTCCATATCCATGCAATATCCCTTTCCCAGCAGAGTTAAGAGTAAATACAAGAGCCTTCATTTTAAGACAGCTCTCCATAAACCAAACCAGAAAAGATGTTGAAGGGAAGGTTAAATTCTTAAATTCAAGAAAATAAAAAGGGATAAATTGTAAACACACTTTCAGAACCACTTTTTGTCAGTTTTTTTTTTCTTTCAGAAAGTACCTATAAAAAGTAAAAGACCACATTTTAGGGGGAGAAATATGAAATTATGGTGAAAGGCCATGCTGTGAAAAGTACTTGGTTTACAGTACCTGTGGTGTTCTCCACTGGGGCCTGTCCAGAGAGGCAGATGACACTCACCTCATCAACTGGCAATGAACAGCAGCAGCTGAAAAGGGTGGGCTGCTGGTCTGGGGACTGTTTTTACCCCTAAGTGAGACCCTACCTTCCTGACACTCATGGAGAACACTGCAGTTATGAACAGACCAAAACAAGGAGCTGCAAATGCAGAACTCACTGGGCAAAAACTGACAGATGATACCAAAGTCATGAAAATATCTCATCTCAAAAAAGATAACTACAATCTCAAACTTTCAAGAAATGCAGATCTTGCTCAGAATAAATCGTAACAATCTCAAAGTGCATTTGGATGCAGAACGTATATTTACCTATATAAGCTCTTTCTTGTTCTCGAGTAAGTCCAGGGGGAATAACTGTAGGCATTCCCGGAATCACTGTCTTCTGTTCCATTGTGTCTTGGTTCCAGCGGCTCCTCTTCCGCTTCTTACTTGGGAAGTCTAAAGGCAGAGACAAAGCCCATCAGATGTAAATATAAATAGTTACCAACAGACAGTCAAGGGTATTTAAGGTACTACACAGAAACTCAGCAGATTGCGAAACTGAGAGCTTAACCTAAAACTTAAACAGCAAAAAACCAGAAAACAAACCTCAGAGATCAGAGATTTAAAGCTTATGGACACTACAAGGGTATGTGGTCCTGGGTCAGGCAAGTTAACATTTCACCTTCTTTTGTCTAGAGAAACTGTCAAATATGTAAACATGGTAATCTTAATGTATACGACTGCAGAGAGTGTTAGATATATACTACATCAACCATGAGTGCTCTGAAATCCCCAGGGGAGACACAAATACATTGAAGAATCATAGGTTTGTAAAGCAGCCCTGATGGGACTGGGGGCTCCGCCCACCTCCACTCCCCTCACCAGTCACTTAAGAGGCAGGAGGAGAGCTAAACCTAGTTATACCCTACCGAGTGGGAAAAGCCCAATTCTTCAACAAGATCACTTTTGTCTTCGTAAGTTTGGCCAAGATCAGCATTCAATTTTCCTGGCCAGTTGGACACTCAGAGTCTGAACTTTTAAAAGGATCTATCAAAAATTCAACAAACAACAACCTATACAATAGCAGCCAAGTTGTCCTTCCCCCATACACAGGCAGAAACTCCCTACGTTTAGCACAAGAGTCCTTTTATTTCCCAGGCGATACACGATCAGAAGGAAAAACTTTTTAAAACAAAGTGACAGGAGAGCCGGTCAGACTGAGATCTAAGGATACTGAACGGAGATTAAAAAACTAGAGTTCTCTCCCCAAAAGAGACCAAAAAAGATCAGACCCAACCATCACCTGAAGCATGCCAACCTCTCCCGGATGAAAACCCTGCCTTGCTATACAAGCAGAGCAGCTATCCTTGGTATGGTTCCCATTCTGGCTCAAGACCAGAAAGGAGCCGCCGCACATCATCAGGTGAGGCTTTCACGCCCTGCCGGCATTCACAACCAGCACCCCGTCCAGTGCTGAACATCAGCGGACTGAAGGGCAATAGGGGGCCCCGAGTCTATAGAACTGCGCCGCACAGCCCAACCACCTCACTGCGTCTGCGCACAGAGCGCCTCCCGCCCGCCCAACCCTCCCCAACAGCGCGCGTGCGCACTCGAGGCCCTAGAACCAGGCCGCGCGCGCCCCGGGGCGCCTCCGCCCGGGCCTCCCCGTGCGCGCGCGCGCGCCCCTGCCGCGTGCAGCCGCCGTCGCCGCCGCCGCGCGCCCCTCAGGCGGCCGGGCCCGTCCGCGCGACGCCTCTCGCGCTCTTTCGGCCCGACTCACCTCCTCCGCCGCCGGCCGGGCCCGGCTGCTGGTCCTTACGCGGCGGCTGGGGTGGCGGCGGCTGCGGCGGCGAGACGCGCTGGTAGAGCGGCGGCGGAGGGGGCGGCTGCGGCGGCGGGTACGAGGCGCCGGGGGACGGTGGAGGTGGAGGCGGCGGCGGCTGCTGGGGAGGCGGAGGGGGCGGCGGCGGAGGCGGCGGAGGCAACGCCGCGAAGGGGAAGGCCGCGGTCAGGGCCCCCATCGAGCTCACGGGCGGGGGCGGCGGCGGCCCGGGAGCCAGCAGCCCCGCCCCAGGCCCGGGTGCAGGCGGAGGGCCCGGCTCGAAGCCCCCTTTGGGTCCGGGAAGCGGGGGGAGCCCGGGGGGGCCCAGCTTACCCAACGGCGTGGCGTTCGCTCCGGTCGCCATGGCGCCCCCGGGGACAGGCACCGGCAGCTGCTTTTCGTCGGCGGCGGCTTCTTCGCAAGCCTCCCGGGGGGAGGGGACCCGACTGCGCTGCCGGAGCGCGCGGAGCCCGTCCTTTCACGCGGCGGGCGGCGGCGGCGCGAGACGCACAAAGAGGGAGGAGAAAGGCCGCCGCGGGGGCGGGCCGGGGGCGGCGGGACCGGGGACTGGATTGGGCCGGGCCGAAGCGAAGGGTCGAAATCGGGGGCCTCCGATTGGCGGAGCCTCAGTCCTTCTTGATGAGCGCTGGGATTGGCCGAACCGTTAGGCCAGGCGAGGAAATGGCGGCGGAGTCCGGTGGGCTGGGAGGTGTCGCAGCGCGCACTTCATTTGTTACTGCGTGAACTGAGCTCGGAGTCCAGAAAGGAGGGGATGGGGTGGGGCGAACTCTGTGACGGAGCGTCGACGAGCTCTCTCATTGGCTGCGGCGGTGGAGTCAATCAATTTCGCGTGCGTCGTAGTGTCACGGGATTGGCTGTCGCTGGTTCCAGCTTTTTTCTACTCTCCTCCCTCAGGGGGCAGTTTCTCCGGGATTAAGCGAGAAGTCGCGGCGGAAAAGGCCCAGCCGGAACGAGATTTATGGCGGGGGAATCCTGGAGCATGAAGTGCGCATGCGTATATAGAGCAACACCGCCCTCTCCGCTAGTCTCCCTTCACCATCGACCCTCGGGTCCAGCATGGAAGCCCTAAGTGACGTCAACCTTTGTTCCCATGGTAACGCGGAACCTTGGGGCGGGAGTACGGGAGGGGCTGATGGGCGCCGGAAAACCGGCTCCGTTACGCCGCAGGTAAAGAGACTTCCTGTTTTTTTTAAATCAAAGACCCAAAAAGCTATGAATAGAGAAGACTTATTGAAGGATTAAAAACAGTATTTGAAGTGATGCAACAACAAATTAAATGAAAGATAACAAGGTTGTCAATTCAAAAGTTACAAATACACACTTCTATCGGAATCTTAACGGAGTTCAGAGGATTTAATTAAATGATCTTAAAATCATATAAAACAATAACTACGGCCGGGCGGCGGTGGCTCACGCGTAATCCCAGCACTTTGACAGGCCGAGGCGGGCGGATCACAAGGTCAGGAGTTCGAGACCAGCCTGACGAATATGGTGAAACCCCTTCTCTACTAAAAAATACAAAAATTAGCTGGGCGTGGTGGTGCACGCCTGCAATCCCAGCTACTCGGGAGGCTGAGGCAAGAGAATCACTTGAAGCTGAGAGGCGGAGATTGCAGTGTTCCTAGATCCGGCCACTGTACTTCAGCCTGGGTGACAGAACAAGACTGTCTCAAAAAAAAAATACTACAGTAGTGGGAAAACTTTACAAGATTGAGCAGGAGCTTGCCTTTCCAGATGACAAACATAGTATATAAAACAAAACAGGCCAGTGCGGTGGCTGACACCTGTAATCCCAGCACTTTGGGAGGCCAAGGTGGGTGGATCACCTGAGGTCAGGAGTTCGAGACCAACCTGACCAACACAGTGACAACCCTGTCTCTACTAAAAGTACAAAAATTAGCCCAGCATGGTGGCAGGCGCCTGTAATCCCAGGTTCTCAGGAGGCTGAGGCAGGAGAATTGCTTGAACCCGGGAGGCGGAGGTGCAGTGAGCTGAGATCGCTCCACTGTTCTCCAGCCTGGGCAACAGAATGAGACTCCGTCTCAAAAACAAAAAAACCACAATAATAAAACAATATGATATTGTTGGTAGGAAAGACACATTAGTGCAACAGAATCCGGAAATACCACAAAGGTGGTATTTTATTTCAATCAGGAAAAGATGATTTAGTTGATAAATGGTGTAGAATCTTAAATTTAAACAACAAGACATTTAGAATATAATTTAGGAGACTATATAAGAGTAATCTAGGGTAATCTAGGGATTGAGGGACTGCAAAGACAGGAACCTCAAACTATGAAAAGATATACTTGATTACCCCAAAACTTAACACTGTGATAAAAGTCAACAGACAATGATAGATGAGGAAAAAATATTTGCCATACATGATAAAGAGCCAATATCTATAATATACAAAGAAATCTTAAAAACTAATTAGAAAAAAGGCAGAAACAATAGAAAAGGAACAAAAAATAGGAATGGACATGTCTCAGAAGAATAAATCCAAATAGTCAAGAAACATGAAAGGGTGTACAACCCCTCTGCTGTGGTTTTTTAAAATAAATATAAAAGATGTTGGAACCCCCACAACACTTTAAACCTGGAGAGAGAGGTGGCTGTGATCTCAGCCACATAGGGTTATACTTTTTTCTCAGATAATAAATTAGACCTGCTTATTTTTTTTGTTTTGTACAATTACTGGAGAGAATGAAACACAGGGACAAAAACCTGCTGCCTTTTTAATGACCCTTCTTATAGATTAACTTCGCTTTTGTTGTCCTGCTTTACTTAGACCAGATGACAGCAAACCCATGACTATTACACTCTCTGTAAAAAATGTTAAATGTATGCCTCCCAAAAAGAAACACTACTTAAAACCAAATTATTATTTTTTTTTTTTTTTGAGACGGTCTCGCTGTTGCCCAGACTGGAGTGCAATGGCACAATCTCGGCTCACTGCAACCTCTGCCTCTGGGGTTCAAGCGATTCTCCCCCGTCAGTTTCCCGAGTAGCTGGGATTACAGCCACCTGCCATCATGCCCAGCTAATTTTTGTATTTTTGTAGAGTTGGGATTTCACCATGTTGGCCAGGCTGGTCTTGAACTCCTGACCTCAGGTGCCCACCTCAGCCTCCCAAAGTGCTGAGATTACAGGCATGGGCCACTGCACTCGGCCTATAACCAAATTACTATAACTATGCACCGACCATATATGAAAAATGTAATCCTAAAACTCCTCTGCCTCTGCCTGTGTAAATGAAACCTTAACTTCTCTACTTCAAAACACTGACTCCATTCATTTGGAGTCGGTGTTTCCAGGTGGTCCACCCTCATGTTTTGTGCTTGAATAAACTATTAGAATTAGATTCTGACCCTTTTGATTACTTTAGGTGGACAGGTTTGAATATGTCCCCCAAAGCTCATGTGTTAGAAACTTAATCTCCGGCCAGGCGTGTTGGCTCCATCACTTTGGGAGGCAGAGGTGGGTGGATCACCTGAGGTCAGGAGTTCGAGACCAGCCTGGCCAACATAGTGAAACCCCGTCTCTATTAAAAATACAAAAAATTAGCCAGGCATCGTGGCGGTGCCTGTAATCCCAGCTACTTGGGAGGCTGAGGCAGGAGAACCATGTTGGCCAGGCTGGTCTCGAACTCCTGACCTCAGGTGATCCACCCATCTTGGCCTCCCAAACTGCTGGGATTACAGGCATGGGCCACAACGCCTGGCCAGAAATCTCTATTCTTAATTATCCAGACTGGGTGTGGTGGCTAATGCCTGTAATCCCAGCACTTTGAGAGTCTGAGGTGGGAGGATCTCTTGAGCTCAGGAGTTTGTGACCAGCCTGGGCAACAGATCAAGACCTCACTTCTACTAAAAAAAAAAAAAAAAAAAATGCTGGTCATGGTGATCCATGACTGTAGTCCCAGCTACACGAGAAACTGAAGCAGGAGGATTGCTTGAGCCCTGGAGATCGAAGCTGCAGTGAGCTATGATCACGCCACTGCAATCCAGCCTTGGCAACAGACCAAGACCCTGTCTCAAATAAATAAATAAATTACCCAGTCTCAGGGATTCTGTTATAGTAATACCACCTTAGACTGTGCTGAGTTTGTGCGACTGTTACAGAATCCCTGAGACTTGCTAATTTATTTACCATTATTTAGATACTGCCTATAAGGGAAATACAAATAAAGGTGATAATGAGGAATCTCAAAATAAATGAAAATAGCAGAACATAAACGTGCTAACACCTACTATCGTTAATCTTTTAGAAAGCATTCTGTTGTCTATTAAAATCGTTCCCCCTTTCAAAAAATAAAAAATATGCACCTGTACTCACAGCTACTTGAGAAGCTGAGTTGGGAGGATCCCCTGAGCCCAGGAGGTAGAGGCAGAAGTGAGCTGTGATTGGGCGACAGAGTAAGACTCTGTTTCGAAAGAAAGAAAACATAAACCTTTTCTCTTTTTTTTTTTTTTTTTTTTTGAGACAGAGTCTCGCTCTGTCGCCTAGGCTGGACTGCAGTGGCCGGATCTCAGGTCACTGCAAGCTCCGCCTCCTGGGTTCACGCTATTCTCCTGCCTCAGCCTCCCGAGTAGCTGGGACTACAGGCTCCCGCCACCTCGCCCAGCTAGTTTTTTGTATTTTTTTTAGTAGAGATGGGGTTTCACCGTGTTAGCCAGGATGGTCTCCATCTCCTGACCTCGTGATCCGCCCGTCTCGGCCTCCCAAAGTGCTGGGATTACAGGCTTGAGCCACCGCGCCCGGCCGAAAACATAAACCTTTTCAATCCAATATCCCACTCCTGGGAATCTGCCCCCAAAACAAGCCATGTGATTACATAATGTTTTCAAAGTCTTCTGCATTTACTGCAGCATTGTTTGTAGTAGTAAAAATGGGCAAACAAAGTGAATTTCTATCAATATATGAATGACTGAATTGGAAAACCCGTAACCTGGAATATTAGGCAGCTTTGAAAAGCTGTTAATTCCTACCAACCGACCTAAAGTAACTTCTGTTCTGTGTTAAGTGAACAAAGGAATATATAGGACATGGCCTTGTTTTTGTAACACAAACCCCATACAGATGTGTGCATGTTTGCGTATGATTGTCTTTTTTTTTTTTTTTTTTTTTGAGACGGAGTCTCGCTCTGTCGCCCAGGCTGGAGTGCAGTGGCCAGATCTCAGCTCACTGCAAGCTCCGCCTCCCGGGTTTACGGCATTCTCCTGCCTCAGCCTCCCGAGTAGCTGGGACAACAGGCACCCGCCACCTCGCCCGGCTAGTTTTTTGTATTTTTTTTAGTAGAGACGGGGTTTCACCATGTTAGCCAGGATGGTCTCGATCTCCTGACCTCGTGATCCACCGGTCTCGGCCTCCCAAAGTGCTGGGATTACAGGCTTGAGCCACCGCGCCCGGCCGCGTATGATTGTCTGAGCATAACAAAGGCTACAGAAGGATACATAGCACATGCCCTCCTATTGCAGAGTGAAATGGGAAGTTACCCAATACATCTTAAACATCCAACTTTTTTTTTTTTTAATGAGATGGAGTCTCGTTCTGTCACCCAGACCAGAGTGCAGTGGCATGATCTTGGCTCACTGCAACCTCCTCCTCCTGAGTTCAAGCGATTCTCATGACTCAGCCACCAGAGTAGCTGGGATTACAGGCACATGCCACCATGCCTGGCTAATTTTTGTATTTTTAGTAAAGACGGGGTTTCACCATGTTGGCCCTGGTCTTGAACTCCTGATCTCAAGTGATTCGCCCGCCTCAGCCTCCCAAAGTGCTGGGATTACAGGTGTGAGCCACCACACCCAGCCTAAAACTCCAACATTTAAAAAAAAAAAATGCTTCATATGTTTAAAAAATGTATTACATGATCCCATTTATGCAACATTATATAACTGTACAGGCATTTAGAAATGCACCAAGGGCTGGGTGCAGTGGCTCACACTTGTAATCTCAGCACTTTGGGAAGGCAAGGCAGGAGGATCGCTTGAGGCCAGGAGTTCGAGACCAGCCTTGGCAACATAGGGAGACTTTGTCTCTACAGAAACAAAAATAATAATCAGCTGAGCATGATGTGCGCCTGTAGTTCCAGCTACTTGGGAGGCTGAGGCAGGAGGATTGTTTGACCCCAAAGAGTTTGAGGCTGCAATAAGCTGTGATCACACCACTGTACTGAAGCCTAAGTGACAGAGGGAGACCCTGTTTCCAAAAAAAAAAAAAAAAACTCGGCGCAGTGGCTCACACCTGTAATTCCAGCACTTTGGGAGGCCAAGGCAGGTGGATCATGAGGTCAGGAGATCGAGACTGTCCTGGCTAACACGGTGAAACCTTAT